GGGGATTTCATGCTAGTTCTTATTTTTGAGACTAGAGAGAAGTGATGCGTCATATCAACTCAGTAACTTAAAAGTCATTTAACCTCGCGTAGCCCCAGTTTCCTTATCTCTGGGTCCCAGGACTCTTACCCCTGCATGGTTCAGCACTTATTTTACTCACATCCAGAATCCGACTTCTTTACCATCATTCGGAGGCCTACACTGTATCACCTGGAACTCAGAGTCGGTTCCCAGGCAAACCAGGAGATCCGACGTTTTCAGGAGTTCCTGAGCTTTCTTGTTCTGAAAGCCCAACCGTCCCGTGATGGCGTTCTTTCTATGCAGCTCTCAAGTTGCTTACTGAGCTATGCGTATGTAGGCTATTTTTCTCCGAAATCCTGTCTGTCCTTTTTTTCAGCTGGTTGCCTCCTCCGAAAGATTTCTAACTCCTGTGGAGGGGGGCACCACCCTAAGACACCACCCTCTAATCCCCTGGCTGCACTGTCCATGGGCTGACATGTCACACCCCACTGTTCCTTGATCGTCTGAGTACAAGGCTCTCTGCTACCTTATTTTTTTAATTATTAAAGTACAGTTGATTTATAATATTATATTAGTTACGGATATACAACATAGTGATTTGAGATTTTTTATAGATTATACTCCACTCAAAGTTACTACACCATGCTGGTTATTTCTTCCTGTGCTGCACAATATATCCTTGTTGCTTATCTGGTATTTAATGCTCCCTTCCTACCCAGCTCTGTACGGACCTTCTTTGCCTGCCTACCTGCTAGGCTGCTTCAGTGTCTGACTCTTCGTGACCCTATAGACTGCAGCCCACCAGGCTCCCCTGTCGAGGCTAAAATACTGCAGTGAGTTGTCAGGCCCTCCTCCAGGGGATCGTCCCGACCCAGGGATAGAAGCCCCATCTCCTGCATTGCTGGTGGATTCTCTACTGCTGAGCCACTGCGGAAGCCTGGATCTTTCTTTACACTGCTGGTTTCTGAAGAGCCTCTCTGTCAGCTGCCAGGGTGTTTTAGGGCGAGTTGCCTCACATGGGGGTGTATTTTTGATGTGTTCATGGTGGGAGGTGAGCACAGCATCCTCCTTATCCACCATCTTGATCTCCTCCTCTGCCACCTTCTTTAAGAAATGAACAACTTTAAATAAAAGACCTTGTTTTCGAGCACAAACTTTGTAGCAAAAGTAACACACAAAAAAACACACATTTTATCTTTTTGATGACTGTATAAATTTGTATAACCTTTTGAAAAGGCAATTTGAACATATCAAGAGCCTTATATTAGCTATCTGTTTTTATGTTGAAAATTACCCCCAAAACAGCAGGGATTGTTCACCCCACAGTTTCTGCAGGTTAGGACTTTGGGAGCAGTTTAGCTGGATGTTCCTAGTTCAAGTTCTTTGGTAAGGCTGTAGTCAGCCCACGTGTCTAGGGCTACATCCATCCGAAGGTTTGCCTGCGGCTACGGGATTTGCTTCCCAAATGACTCACTTGCCAGGTTGGAGGCTGGTCACCCCATGAACCTCTCCACAAGACTGCCTGAGCATCCTTACAACATGTCAACTGGCGTACTCAGAACACATGGCCCAAGAAAGAGCAAGGAAGAAGTCGCAGGCCTTTTATGGCCCAGTCTCCAAAGTCACACACATCACTTCTGCCATAGCCTATTTGTTAGATGCAGGCCAATAAGTTTATCTCACACTCACACTCAAGAGGAGGGGAAAAACACGCTGTGAAACCACAAGAAGCTCTAAGGTATCTTGGAGAAGTTGTCCAAAGCATACATACACACAGACCTTATGATATTGTCCATTGCAGTGATATTTATGAAACAAAAGCATAAAAACCTTTAATATCCAACAGCTGGGAAAATGTTGAGTAAAGCGCAATATGCACATTATGCAGCAATTTCAAATACTGTTTTCCAAGACTATTCTATAGCATATGCAAAGACTTTTATTGTAACATTAGAAAGGGCAAGCATTATATGAAAGAAGTATAGATGGAAAATATCCTAAAGATATAAATCAAAATGTTAAAATCAAATGCCCTTGGCTGTTAGGGTTGAAGGTGATTATTCTCTCCCTGCTTTTGAGGATTTCCTGAAAATAATAATGAAGCAGCCAGCTCCTTTCCCTCTCTTTCCAGCGTGTGGTGTATTTACATGCAGTCTTTTAAAACTTGTACGTACAATGGTTTATTAATCAGTTTCCTCACTTTTAACAGAAGAATTTATTCTTTCCATGTGTAACTCATCTAATTAGTGATTTTTAAATTCAGTTCAGTTCAGTCGCTCAGGCGTGTCTGACTCTGCGACCCCATGAACCGCAGCACACCAGGCCTCCCTGTCCATCACCAACTCCAGGAGTTTACCCAAACTAAACCTCAGTCTGAAAGACACAGCAAATCAGACACTCCTCTTTGCTGCCCACAGTGAGGAGAAGGCCGGCATGCACCTGCACATGGGTGTGGAGGCTGGCGGGCTGCCAGAGTTCTGGGAGGCTCTGCGTGCAGACAGTGGTCAGCTGACCCCAGGGGGTGATTCCTGGACCAGGAGGCCGGATGCAGGCTATGTCACCACAGCTCTTGGGAACTCACCTTGTGGCTCTCAGCTGTCTTCTTATAGGTGCTCACTTGAGAACATTCCAGAAACCACCCAGGAACCACTCTCATGGGTGAGAGGCACTCTCCCCGCTTCTCCTCCGCACCCTCAGCCTCCGCCCACCCCGTTTCACCCACATTCCCATCCTAGACAATTACAACAGATGCTGTCCCTGCTCCTCCCAGGCCCCGGGAATCCTCCCCACCAGCTCTGAGCACCCCGCCCCCAGCTCCAGGGTGCTCTGCTTCTAAGGGCTCATATCTGCAACCTTCTTCAGGGGTTTCTTTTGAGCTGTTAGACTGCGTTGCTGCAAATACAGAGAGTTGAAAGCACTTCGGAGTTCCTATCTGAGCCCTCATATCACACATCCTGGTCCCCAACACACACACACACACACACAGCGGTTCTTGGCGATGACTGATTTAAGTAGGAATATGAAAACCCAGCCCCCCATCTCAAGCCAGAACAACCTTAAGGTGTAATTTACACTCTGAGCTACTCCAGGGATCAGTCTGAGGCTGGAACTTGGCCCAAAACATCTTCATGTCTCAATATCTCCCCTTCCCTGTCTTGCTTCCCCCACACCCTTTCTGATTCTTCAGGGAGCTCTTTCTTAATAAACTCCTCGCACAAATACCTCTTTTCACATTCTGCTTCTGGGAAACAGATGAAAAACTTACAGTCTCAATGGGAGTTAGGTGCCTGGAGACCAGGGACGTTAAAAGTCCTTCAACGCCAAGAACACCTCACACAACAGAGAATGTCCCTCCCCACGTGGCCAAAGGGCTTCCCAGGTGGTGCTAGCGGTAAAGAACATGCTTGCCAGTTTTGGAGACATAAGAGACATGGGTTCGATCCCTGGGTCAGGAAGATCCCCTGGAGGAGGACATGGCAACCCACTCCAGTGTTCTTGCCTGGAGAATCCCAGGGACAGAGGAGCCTGGTGGCTACAGTCCATAGAGTCGCAAAGAGTTGGACACGACGGAAGTGACTTAGCACATGAGCACAGATGCCCAACGCATCCTGACCAAGAAACACTGGGCGGAGCCGAGGAGACGAGAGGCAGGCAGCGCAGACCGCGGATAAAGTACCGAGTTCAGACCTGACTGAGGGAGAGGGATCAGTTAAGGACACTTAGAGAGGAAGCAGCCAGAGAGATGGGGAAAAAACAGGAGACGGCGAAACCAAGAAAGGTAGGTGTTTCAAGAAGCAGGGGTCTCAGCGGCGTTCACTGCCAGTGGTCACGTAGGCAAGGACAGAGAGCTGGTCATTAGGTTTGCTCCATGGAGGCCTCTGGTGCCCTTGACAATCGCATTTTTTTAAGGGGCAGTGAGACTGGAGTCAGATAAAGTGAAGAATGAATATGTGTAAAAAAACAAGACAAAGCTGGTGAGCTTGGTCTTGAATGGATGTAGAATAATAGGAGGATGATTGCAGAGGAATTGGGACAAAGGGAAATTTTTCAAGAGCACGTTTACATAATGATAGGAGTGATTCAGTAGAAAGGGGGCAAGGGATGGCTCAGGAGAGGAGAAAACAAGAGGAATACAGCTGGAGCAGACAAGAAGACGTGGAATCTTTGTCCACTCTCCCAGTGTCCCCATTCTGAGAAACAGAATGCCTCTTCCTCCCTCCAGAGCCCACCTCTGACCCCTCCCTAGAGGGAAGGAAATGCACTCATTTTGCGAAATGCCTCATCCTTCTCAAACAATGGATTGAAAGACTTCCTGTTAAAGCAGACAGAAAGCGCATAGTAATAAACCCTCCTCTCATTTACGCAGTTCTCAGGCCCTAAGTGGTCTTGAATAATGATCAGGACAGGTCAGGGGAGCTGACCTTGATTTTGAACTTGAACTCCCTGTCGAGTCTGTGGTTAGGACTGCGTTTTCACTGCCAAGGGCGCAGGCTCAACCCCTGGTTGGGGAACTAAGATTCTGCAAAGGTGAAAAAAAAAGAAAGAAAGGAAAGAAGGAAGGGAGACAGTGAGGAAGGGAGGGAAGAAGAAAAGGAAAGAAGGGAGGAAAATTTTTTTAAAGGCCTGTCTTGCCTCCTCTGGCCCTCTAGGTTAAGGGTTAGAAGCGTACTATCCATGGAAGGGTACTGCTCAGGAAAGAACTTTCAGGGAAAAACTTGAAGCAGGAAACATGGTTGCCCAACCACCTTCGGCCGCTGCATCTCTGAGAAACATGGTTACCCAGCCACCGTCCACATCGGGCTGCTCTGCGGGATGCTCTCACTGTTGCCTGCGCTCTGCCGTCTTCTCGGGCGGACCAAGACCCCTCTGACCAGCGACCGTGGCTCCGGCGCTGCATCCGCCCCACCGAGACCTTCTCAGCTGCGCTGCAGCCCACGGGTTCGCGAGGCCCCTCCCTCCCCTCCTCTCTGCTTTCGCAGGGGCCAGCCCCTCATTCTGGCCCGAGGTTTCCTTCCAGCGGCTTCTATGGCCGCTCCTCTTGGTCTACCATGGGTATGTCCTACACTAAATCTCTTGCACTTCTAATTCTGTCTTGGCCATCTTCCTACAGGACTAAAGCCGACACAGATCCCTCTTCCTTTGGATGTTGGACACATGGCTCAAGACGGAGGTCTTAATTCACCAGTTTGAAGATTTTATCTATATTGCTTTTCAACCAAAGACTTTGCGTCTTTTGGAATATCAAATCAAATTTGTGTATTTCAAGAAGTAGATGGTTAATGTGCTGTGTGCTTAGTCACTCAATTGTGTCCACCTCTTCTGTGACCCCATATGGACTGTAGTCCGAGAGGCTCCTCTATCCATGGGATTCTCCAGGCAAGAGACCTGGACTGGGTTGCCATTTCCTCCTCCAGGGGATCTTCCTGACCTAGGGATGGACTCTGTGTCTCTCGCGTCTCCCGCATTGGCAGGTAGATTATTTACCACTGCACCACTTGGGAATTATTGGTTATTATTGGCAGCTATGTTCATTTTATAAAGGATTGTTATAACCTCTGAAGGATCGGGCTCCAACTCATATCTGTCTGCTCCCTATCGAAAAAGCCCAGTTCAATAGATTCTTATTTCTGCTGTTTGCTCTTTTCTATCAAAGATACCACAGTGCACAGTTGCCACGTGAATAGACTGGAATAACGTTATGGCACAAATGAGCAAAGAATACTACCCAGGCATTCTGCCTCAGGAAGGTTCTTGGTTAGCAACCAAAGCGAACTTAAGCAATAGGGGATTAATTGACTTGATAGAGGGTAGGGCAAAGGGGACTGAAAGAAGCCACAGGAAGTGGGGGTGGCAGGCTTGGAGACGGATGGAAAGAACCAGGACACTGAGGACTAAACAGCCGGGAGCAGGACTCAGCAAGCACTTCCTGGTGGGAAATCCTGCACAGACTCTGGCAGCGCGTTGGCCATTGCTGTAGCATCACCTGCAACCGTCTCTGACGTCCGTGTGTCCCCCTGGTCGGGCTCCATCAAACAGCTGCCATCCGACCGCATCAGGGAAATGAGGAGAAAAGACCCAGGAAGTTCACCCAGAGATGGTGGGACAGGCACCGTTACTAGCAAGGCCAAGACAAAGGGGAGAAGGAAAATTCCCTCAATGGAACTCAAGGAGGTGTTGTGAAGGTGCCAAATGCTGGAAGAGAAAAAGGGAAGGGAAAAAAGATGAACTCCCCTGCGCCCTTCTAGACCTCAAACCAATGTTTTCCATCATTCAAGTGGCACAGAGTTAATTTCAAGATCTGAGTCTGTTTCTGTTTTGTAAATAAATTTATTTCACCTGTACAATAGAAATGTTTTCATTTAAAAAAAGCAATGTTCAAATCTAAAAAAGCAAGGCATAGAAAGTTTGTTCAAAGAAAATATCAGAGCATTGGTTCTCAACTTTGGCTGATCAAAGAATCACCTGGGACCCTTTTATGAACCCTGGTGCTCAAGTCAAGAAAGCGTTAGTCGCTCAGTCACGTCCGACTCTTTGCGACCCCATGGACCGTAGCCCACCAGGGCTCCTCTATCCATGGAATTCTCCAGGCAAGAATACTAGAGTGGGAAACCATTCTCTTCTCTAGCGGATCTTCTAGACCCAGGGATCGAACCGGGGTCGCCTGCACTGCAGGCAAATTCTTTAGTGCCTGAACCACCGGGGAAGCCAATGAAGTGAGACTTTGGTGGGGGGCAGTGGGTCCCAGGCATCAGACCTTGCCAAACTTCACAGGGGGTTCTAACACGTAGCCAAGACTGAAAACTAGACTTCCTTCCAGTAGAAAGTCCAGCACGCAGAACAGACAGAGCAGCACCGCTCTAGCGGCGCAGGGAGACGGGCGGCATCCCACTCCCGCGGCCCCGACGGCCTCTCAAAGGGACGCTTTCAACCAGCTCTTCGGTGGGTTGCCATCATGCAGTGGTTGACCCCTGCTTTTCCCGCAGCCCAGATACAATCTGCCAGCTTGGCTCAGCCTTCAGAAGATCATCAGAGTCCAGCCTCCTCTGCTCCCTCCGGCTGCCGCTCTCGTCCAAGCTGCTCCCATCCCGCCTTAGACTGTTGCAATCGCTTCCCAGTGGGTCTTCCCGCGTCTGCCCTTGCCTCCTGCCGTCTCCTCTCAACACAGCAGCAGGAGTAACCCTGAAATAAGGGCTTTCCCTGGGGGCCCAGATGGTAAAGAATCTGCCTGCAATGCGGGAGACACGGGTTCAATCCCTGGGTTGGGAAGACCTCCTGGAGAAGGAAATGGCAACCCGCCCCAGTCTTCTTGCCTGGAGAATCCCGTGGACAGAGGAGCCTGGTGGGCTACAGTCCATGGGGTCACAGAGAGTCAGACACGACTGAGCGACTAACGCTTTCACTTTCAAGGGAAGGCTGAACATGGCTCTCCTCCACCCAAAGCTCTGAAATAGCTCTAGACTTCATTCAGAGTAAAAGGCAAAACATCGGGCTCTAGACCAGGAACCCAGAAACTTTTTGAGTGACTATTTCTGCCTGTTTAGGCCATATGGTCTCTGTCACAACTTTTCAGGTCTGCCACAACAGCCAGAAAGCAGCTGCGGATGATGTGGAAATGAACAAACACGGCTGAGTGCCACTAGACCTGATGCACAGTAACAGGCAGGAGGCCAGATGCGGCCACCAGACCTGTGTCTGCCGACCCCTCCCGGGGGTGCTAGCGGTAAAGAACCCACCTGCCAATGCAGGAGACGAGAGAGAGACAGGGGTTCGATCCCTGGGTCGGGAAGATCCCCTGGAGGAGGGCTTGGCAACCCACTCCAGCATTCTTGCCTGGAGACTCCCGTGGACAGAGGGGCCTGGAGGCTGCAGTCTGTGGGGTTGCAAAGAGTCAGATATGACTGAAGCCGCTGAGCATGCACACGACACACAGCAGAGCATCCGGGCCTTACCCCCTCTGCCCTCCCTGCCCCTCCATCAGTCACGCAGGCCTCCTGGGAGCTCCGGGAGTGCTCAGGCGTCCCCCTGCCTCAGGGAGCATCCTGTGTCCTCCGGCCCTTGGCTTATTCCTCTGGCTGGTCCCTCCCCTCGCCCAAGTCCCCTCACATCCCACCTTCTCAGAAAGGCTCACCGTGACGGCCCTGTTTCCCACAACACCTGTCTCCCCATGTTCACCCCCAGTGCCCTGCACCCCTCGGACTCATTAATTTTCTTTCTATTACGCCTTCCCCTCTTAAACTTATGCACAATTTGCTTGCTTATTAAGCTATTTGCTTAATAACTAACCCTGATGGATAGTCTGCCCTTGCGCAGTTGTCTAGAATGTCAGGGTGTCAACGGCACAAGGGCGGGCTATCCATCGCAGGAGAGCCACAGGAGAACAGGACGGATGTCAGGGGTTAGTCTTTGTGCGGCTGCAGGAGCAGGTGGGGCGGCCGTGCGGGCTGTCGCCTCTGCATCTGGTGGAGGCGGGCATGCCTGGAGTCCAGCTCCCCAGCTGTCAGGAAGGAGACCTGGGCGTGTGTGGGAGCAGGTGCACGGTCATGCTCCCGGGGACCGCCTGGGACCTGCCTCCAGCCCCGGAGTCAAAGGGAATCGCAGCAGAAACTGGCCCTCTGCCCTCACGCGGCAGCGAGCTGGACCCAGGCCTCGGAGAAGCAGGCAAAAGGTTCCCAGCAGGCCTACAGGTGACCCCCGCCCGGGACGGAGGTCCAGCAGGTCTGCTCCCATGTCACGAGCTGCCCCCCACGGCGACCTTCAGAAATGCACCGAGAAAGAAATTCCGGGAAAGGTAGCTCCAGCCTAGAGAGTTTGGCACGTTCTAAAGCCACCCAGGGCAGGAATCCTATTGTCTGCTTGTTTACTGATGAATCAGAGTCCCCAAAACCTAAAGTAGTGCCCGCCTGGCACATGGTAGGTGCTTAAAAAACAGTGAATGAATGGATGAATAAACGATGACTGAATCAGTGATGCCTGGATGGTTATATGACTCACTAGTGTCCCTACTAGAGTGCAAGTTCCAGGGGGGCAGAGCAAACGTGTGTGTGTGCCCCGATGTGGTACCAGTAGCACCTCGCCTCCACCTTCGGTCTCCAGACACGTGCTCGCCCCAGGAAACACGCCTGGCCCCACAAGTAGCGAACTCCCAGTCCTGATGGCAGCTTCTAATGGGAGTCTGGAATTAGCAGATGTAAACTACGGCGTACAGAATGGATAAGCCATCCTACTGTATAGCACAGGGAACTATATTCAACATCCTGGGATAAGCCCTAATGGAAAGTAATAGGTAAAATAATTTTGAACATTTTTTAAAAGATGCTGCAATATATATGAACAATAATAAAGCTCAAGTTAAAAATCCTATCACCCCTGGGGTCTGTGAAACATTGACTCTGGAATCAGTCATCTCCACCATCAGCCTTCCTGCCTACAAGGTCCTGGGTGGGTTTTGGTCTTAATCCCTAATGCAGAACAGGTCTCTTTCATTTAAGATCTTCGGGGACAAACGAGGCAAATCGTTCTTGCTAGTTGTGCCCTCACTCTAGAGAGGCTAGAAGCAGGCCACCCTGTGTTGTTCATAACAGAAGCCCACCGTGGATTGCTCATCTGAGCCCCCACCCTCGGAGCAGGCTGTTTTTTTATGCAGAGGATCAGCTTGCTGGGCATAAACGGAGTGTCCGGTGTGGACGCCCACGCAGCCAACTCGGTGCCCCAGTGGTGAGTAGTCATCTCGAAAGAATCATGATCAAGGGACTTCCCTGGTGGTCCAGTGGCCAAAACTTTGCACTCCCAGTGCAGGGGGCCCAGGCTCCATGCCCGAGCAGGGACCTAGATCACACCTGTCGCGGCTGAGACCTGGTGCAGCCAGATTACTTAACTGACTGATTAATTCTTTTAAAAGACCCAACAGTGTCATGGTTGCCTATCAGTTTGCATATTCCCTATACATGAAAAACCAGACTAACGTAACTCTGAGTCATGTAAATCCAGGAGAACAAAGCGAGAAATCCAGAACTGGTGAATCACACCGATGCAAAGGTGAGGGAAGGGTGTGATGTTACTGAGCCGGATTTCACGGCTGACAGTCGGAAACCAGGAAGGACACTTTTTCCCTGTAGGCCCTTGAAGTGGAGACGCTTACAGGGCAAAAGACACCCGTCTGCTCTCAGAAGCAGACACTGTGACTTCCTAATGCAGGACTAGAACTGTTCACTCAGGGAGCCTGATCGAGCGCCTCGGAGTTTATAGTAATAAACTTTTGCGACACTCATCCAGCAAATATTTATAAAGCATGTGCTGTGTGTCAAGTGCTTTGGAAGAATATACGTGACCTATCCTGATGAACGTCTACTACATGCGTTTCTTTCACAGTTTGACACTTTCACTTCCTTTAGAGCCATATTGAACACAACTCTTTACACTGAATTTATGCGTGCCTTGTGCTGAGTGCAGACTTTTTTACCATGAGTGTCCCATCACTACATTTCACATCTGTAGGTCAGCTAGAGTTCACCTTTGAGTCATTTTTTCAGGAGACTTTCTTTGCTAGTTACTTGGCTTACCTTTTCAAAAATGGAATGAAATGGATGGATGGATAGATAGATAGATCTTGCTAGAATAAGATGCTTGCACCATTATTTTTAAAAATTTTTAAAGTGTATTTTTTAATTATAGTTGGGGGGCTTCCCTTGTGACTCAGCTGGTAAAGAATCCGCATGCAATGCAGGAGACCTGGGTTTGATCCCTAGGTTGGGAAGATCCCCTGGAGAAGGGAAAGGCTACTCACTCCAGTATTCTGGCCTGGAGAATTCTACAGACTACAGTCCATGGGTTCGCAAAGAGTTGGACACCACTGAGCAAAGAGTCAGACACCACTGAGCGACTTTCACTTTCACTTTTACGTCCATAGTTGATTTACAATGTATTGTTTTCAGGTCTGCAGCATAATGATGCAGTTTTTTATATACTTTTTCAGATTCTTTTCTCTTATGTGGTAGTCGCTCGGTCATATCCAACTTTTTGCGACCCTATGCACTGTAGCCTGCCAGGCTCCTCTGTCCACGGAAATTTCCAGACAAGCATACTAGAGTGGGTTGCCATTTCCTACTCCAGGGGATCTTCCCGGCCCAAGGATCAAACCCACGTGTCTTGCATCTCCCGCATTGGCGGCCGGATTCTTTACCACTAGTCCCACCTGGAAGCCCCGTCTCCCTTACAGGTTGTCACAAAATAGAGAGCATAGTTCTGTGGCTTGCACATTCTTACACCAAATCTTTGCATCTATTCCCATAATGTATGCTCTTCTAAAGTCTGCTATCCTAGAGAGGCCACCAGAGGGAAACACCCCCAGCCCTGCCCTGGCAGCACAGAGCCTCACCCACAGGACCACGAGGGAAGCGCCTGGTCTCCCTCCTTGTTTGAGAAACCTCAGTTACCTCTGTCTAATCACTCCTCTCTGCTCCTAAGCTCTCCATTTGTCATCATTTTGAACTCTGCCCATTCTTCCCTACAACCTGCAGAGGGGTTCAGTGTCCCCCTGCTTTAGAGTCTTTCCGTGAGCTCCCCAGGCTCGTTCCTGCTCATTCATCCTACAGGAGGGCCAGGCTGACCCTGGCTTAGTGTCCTCCGCAGGCTGGAAGACCGGGTTCACCTGTATCTCCTGATTGTCCTTGGAATCCTTCTGGCGGGTTCTGGTGCAGAGGGCTGCTTGGTGTCAATGTCTGTTTCCTATTCGGCCTGAACTCCACGGTGTGCAGTGGGGGCCAAGGGCGTTTCCAGCAGACCGACATCTCTGCGCGCTCCTTCCAGCCCTGGTGGAGCCACAGAAGCTCCGGCTTTCCGCAGCGGGCCTGTCGTGCGCCCAGCCTCCATGCCAGATACCAGCTGCGCCTCTGCCCTCCCGCTGCCGCCAGCCAGCTCCAACGCAAGCCTCACCACCCCGCTGGACGCAAGTCCGCAGCAGCTGCAGGAAGCCAGCTGCCTTCGGGTTCTGCTCACTTCAGCTCCCAGGGCTGGAAGAGCCAGCCAGCAGCAGTACCCCCGGCCGCCCCCACTGCCCGTCTCCACCCTGAGTCCCAAGGTCTGGGGTCTCTGATCCCCCCAGGGTCTCCTGGCTGCTCGCCTTGTGCCCCCCAGCACTGGCGCACCCCTCTGCCACGAACGAACGACGCTGAGCCGGGGCTACAGAATACAAGCCGCTGCCCGGGCGGCTGTCACCAGGCCACGTGGCATCCTCCGGAGCCCATCACGGTCAGGCATTAACTTGCAGTGGGCTTGGTCCTCCTTCTGGTCCTCCCGCAGATCCTCCCTCAGAACAATGACAAAACCAGAAAGTTCCTTCTTTCTCCTCATGACCATCTGCCTACCTCCATCCTAGCCCTAAGCCCGGCTGAGGGGTCCGGCGCCAGAAATCATGGCCAGGCTGCTGGGGGAGAATCAGACACCCAGTTTCGTCTTACCTGGCGTGCACAGGCGCAGACGATGCTTTGCACTCCGAGTCGTCACTGGTGAGTTTGCAAACTGCCTGCGCTAGGCTTTCCGTGAGTCCTCACGTGGTGCGTGGAGGCAGGGCGCCGGGGCATCCGGCGCACAAGGGCCGGAATCCGTGCGGGGCGCCCTGGGCCACTCCAGCCGCGCCCCCTCCCCAGACAGCCTCTGATAAGCCCCGGTTTCTAAGCAGCCCGGCAATCTCTGCGGTCTGCCTTCCCAGCGCCCTTGCTCGGTCCCACAGGGTTTCTGCAGCCGGTCCCCCAGCTGGGTCACTGGGCGGGGACGGGGCACCCCAGGGGCGCTTCTGCTCCCGGCGCTGCCCCACGGCCGCAGCCCCGGCTCCAGGCTCACCCTGCCCCACGGCCGACCCCCCCCGCCCCAACCCCACCACGTCAGAGCTGAGCCAGTCCTGCTCCCCCACGCTGAGTCCGGAAACTCAGTCCGCCATGCCCTGGCCTCCCCAGTTACCTCGGAGAGCAAGACAGACAGAGATGAGGACATCAGGCCCGGAGGAGGCGGGCTTTAGACTGACTAGTGATCCCCCGGGCCGGGCTGGAAAGGCAACCTAGGCGCCCACTGAGACTGTGAGCCTAGACGAGAGTCTTAACCTTTGAGAGTCTCTATTTCTCATCTATACCAAGAATATGATAATACGTTTGCCCCCCAAAGGCTTTGTGCAGGTATTAAATGAAGCGGGTCTAAGTTAAGTGCTATGCATAAGGCTGGGGACCCGGTAAGCTGTCATAAATATTAACTCATTATTACTATGATTATTAATAAGGTCAAAGAATGAGTAACTGCCAGAGCTCGGGATTGAATCCTTCTTTATTTCTTCATTTCATTTTTAATAGCCCATAATTATAGAAAATTAGTCCATGATGGGAGACAGGAATGATCCCGAAATAGCTTTTGACTGAATATGGAGAGGTTTGATTACTTTCAGAGCTTCCTAGAGGTCAGAAAAATATTACTTGCCCTAGATAAATATTACTAGGCCGTTGCTATTATTTTATGAGACTTCTCCGACAGGGAGCTTTAACAGAAATATCACTAGTGACAGGCGAGTCGAAACACATTTTCTCGGTCTTTGTTGTTATAAAGGAATACACCTGATTAAACCCAACATCTTGATAGCACTCTGCTAAAAGCATTCTGGGTGGAATTCCTCTGAATATGCTCTGAATTCATGGTGCAGAGTCATCTGTGCAATTAGCATAAGCAGTTTTCCAGTGGCCTCCTTGGAAGTTGAACACAGCTGACAGCAGCAGGAACGTTTTTGATGACCCTGGACATCAGGGAAAGTCCAGGCTCTTTCTTGGATGCTTCTTTCCAATAGGAGTAGAAATCAGCCTTAGAGCAGCTCTTGAAGCAGGCACAAGGCATGTGCCAAGGTCCACCAGGTAATGAATCATGAGGGTTCCAGGGAAAGCAGAGCAGAATGTCCAGCTTCTCCCAAAAACATGTCCATAGTGAGTTTTCCGTTTTAGTTGATGGACAGATTGGCCAAAGTGTTTATTGTGAGCCACAAGCTTTATGGACGTGGACAGATTATCTCTTGATAGTCTGCAGCAGACGGGGCTACCGGACAGGTGATGTGTCCTGGCCCATCCACACTGCAGGGTCTGAAGGCCTGCTTCCAGAGTTTCTGCCAAGGAGATGAACTCCTCCATGACGAGTGCTTAGCTATGGTTCCTTGGGGTTGATCCGTGGTAGCTTGCTCTCATTGTCCCAAGGTTCAGCTAGGTGGATTTTACTCTGTTCCTTCTGACAATGACCCCCCGCCAAATGTAAAATCCACGGCAAACTGAACATTTGTGAGCAAAGCTGATCCAGGTGAGACAATAGTTTCTCTGGGCCAAGGGCCGTAATAGACACTTCACACTCGGGAGCTCGTCCGAGTCTCATCGTGTTGCTGCATCTCTGCCTCTGTTCACTGGTGCCAGACACAAACATGGAGACAGTTTTGGGTGGAGTAGGGAAGAGCAGCTGTTGCGGCTTTGCCAGGCAAAGGGGGCCACAGTGCCCTAGTGCCTGGAGACTGTGACCCACCCCGGAGGGTCATCAGGACCTGTGTAATGCTCAAGGAGCAGGGCGTGGTCAGCTCGCGGACAGTTCTTGGATTGGTTGTCATTGAGGCGGCGTTGCAAGCATCATCAGCCTTCTGGTTTCAATTAGTCTAGGGTCTTGTTCTTGTGGTCAGCAGTTTTCATCTGAAGGGAGGTCTAGGTCCTGTAAAAGCAGCTTGGGAATGTGTGTCAGCTTTTATCTATATCTTTCGGGGACCTGGAATTTGGTGATTCTGTTACGTGGCAGAATTACAGGCTAAATTGTTACCAGTTCCTTAGCCCAACAGCTATTCTTTGTTTCTGCATCTTCACATCTCCTAATCATTATCTCCCGAATCAGCATTTTCCTCCAAACGATAAGGACGCAGAGGTATCTACACTGTTTCAATTACAGCCCTGACTTGGGGGTGCTATGGTTCAGCCCATTAAAAGGAGAGGAAGCTCCCACTCAAAAGGGTTAAAGAACTTGCTCAAGATCAAACTGCAGGCCAGATGAGGCGAGCTCCAGGAACTTCCCTGATGGTCCGGTGACTAAGATGGAGCTCCAAGAGGAATGTCATGCTGACAAGGCAGGGGTCCTGGGTTCAATCCGTGGTCTAACTGGATCCCACACGCCACAGCTGAGACCCAGCGCAGTCAAACACATACATAAATATTTTTTAAAAGCAGACAAGGACGTTAGCCAGATTCCCTGACTGCAGACCCTGGTCATCCTCTTCCCCCTTTGTGCTGACTCGCGAATGGGCCAAAACAAATCCCAGATTAGGGTCTCTGCCGACCTCTGCCTCAGCTGGGATGTCTTCCTGTGGTCATCCAGGACTCAGGGTAAGTGGTCCCTACTTGGAGAACAAGGGACACTCAGAGCTGTTTCAGCCGTCCACTGCCTCTCCCTGTCTCCGGCGAGGGCCGCTCCTCCGGGGCCCTTCCGTCCAGCTCTGGGCACGAACAGGAGCTCTGGCTGCGCGGGGAGGAAGGCCCAGCCTAACAGCAGACCGGCAGCGCCTGCTACGGGCTCGCTCCCGTCCCCGGGAGCTGGGTAGACCCCTCGCTTCGCTGCACTCAGCTCTGAGACAGCCTGCTTCCTGCACAGCCATGGCTTCTTTCCTCCCCATTCTCAGCTGGTGAGAAACAGGCCATCTTCTCCTATGAAGGGTCGGAAACTTCCCGACGTTTCTAGAAACCCTCCCCCCCTCCTTGGGCACATCGCCCCACTTCAGGCTGGGTCCAGGGCCCCCTCCTGAACCACACCCAGCGGACAGGAAAACCCTGCGTGCTTAGGCCCAGACTCCTAGAGCGATCGCTGTCAAGGGGGTGGGGCCACCATGACTGGAGCTGTTACCCGGGGCCTTTCAGGCCGGAGCTGGGACACTCAGTCTCCTGAGAAGGGGTCTGATTAGGAGGGAACAAGTGGAGACAGTAGGCTCGCAAGTCGCCAAGCACTTCATAACCTTGGGGTCTTTAAAGGCTTTGCATTCTCATTTGCATAGATAAGACTATGCCTTCTCTACCCCACCACGCCCAGTCAATGTCCTGACTTTATTTACACCATAGCATTTATCATTCTCTAATATATACTTGTTTATTGATTGACTTGGCCTGTTTTCTCCACTAGGAAATAAGTTGCAAGAGAAGAGGGAACTTGTCTGTCTCATATACCGCTATAGCCCTCACCCAGAAAGTAATGCCTGGAATACAGTATATATGAAAGAATAAGTGCTTCTCAGCCATTAAAGGGAAGAAAACTGGGTCGTTTGTAGAAACGTGGGTGGCCCTAGAGACTGCGTATAGAGTAAAGTGACTCAAAAACAGAAAAACAAATACTATATATTAACACATATATGCAGAATCTAGAAAACTGGTGTAGATGATTTATTTGCAAAGCAGAAATAGAGACACAGACATAGAGAACAAACGTGTGGATGCCAAGCAGGAAGGGGATGGGGGTGGCGGGATGAATCGGGGGTTTGGGCTTGACATACACACAGTATCGATGCTCTGTTAACGTAGACGACTGAGGCCCCACGGTCTAACTCAGGGAGCTCTGATCAGTGCCCCGTGCTGACCCGAATAGAAAGGAAATCCCCGAAAGAGGGGCCACAGGTGTCCGCATAGCTGATTCACTCTGCTGTGCTGCACAAACTAACACAACGTCGGAAAGCACCTCGACTCCAATAAAATAATCAGTCAATAAATGTTTGCTGAATGAACACATGAACTAAGAAATAAGCAAATGAATGAAGCATGGCCCCTTGACACAAAGGCAGGAGGTAGGAGAGCGTTACGTCCACTGATGGGGACCCCCTTGACCCCCGGCAGCGCTTGGAGAGTCAGGACCTGGAGCGCTAAGGGGTAGGACTCCTGCTGCCCAGGTCTCCTAGAACTAGACCTACGGACATTTAGGTGGTTTTGCATTTTGAAAACTGATCCATTGTCTTTGCGTTTTTCTGAAACGTCTCTAAGGCTATGGCAGTTGGTTGAATAACAGGTCCCGCTTTTTTTTTAAACTTTATTTTCTGCTGCATTCTCTTCCATTATGGTTTATCACGGGATGTTAAATACAGTTCCCTGTGCTATCCAGTATCTCCTTATTGCTTATTCATTCCATATGTAGTAGATTGTGTCTACTAATCCCAAGGACCAGCTTTTAATACTAGCTTTCCCTTTGCTTCACAGGGCTTGTGGAGCTCCACATGGGCTGCGGGAGAATGCAGGAGTCACCCCCACCCCAAACCAAGCTCGGGCGACTAACATGCTCCTGGCTCTTCCCATTCAGAAGGATGCTCCCTGTATGTTAATCTGCAAACAGATGGTCCTCTGCTCTTTCTTTTTCCTGTGCCTGATTTGGGTTTTCTGCCCTGTGCCTTTCTTTCTTCTGATGCCTTTGTTAATTGAATCATCACTTAAACACAGCCAAGTGCACTCGGCTGCACAGTTGGGCCTGATGACCTTTCAACACGCATCCCCACCCCTAGATCCCGACACAGAGTATTTCTGTCACCGGAGAAGCCATTTTTGTGCCCCCACCCTGCCAATAGTCCCTCTCTCAAAAGTAACCATTACTTTAGCTTCTACCAGCATTGACGATTTGGGGTCCACACATGTTCCCTTAAACTACTTTTAGAAACAAGGTGCCCAGGCTTCAGAGCACTTCAATCTGTCCCTCTTCACTTCCTTTTATAAATAAAGTGAAAAAAAGAGGCACTGCGGCTTCCCTGGTGGCTCAGATGGTAAAGAATCTGCCTGCAATGCGAGAAACCTGGGTTCGGTCCCTGGGTTGGACGATCCCCTGGAGAAGGGAAAGGCTACTCACTCCAGTATTCTGGCCTGGAGAATGCCATGGACAGAGGAGCCTGGCGGGGCACAACCGAGAGACTAAACACAGCCCAGTGATGAAAGAGAGGCGGGAGAGGGGCTGCCCCGGCTCTGGCTATGCTAGTCAGTTAAGTCCCGGTTCTCAACC